TATATATAAATATATATAAAAAGGAAAAACTTAATAGCAATAGATCAGCGCATTGGCGTGCGCGATACGCCGTGCAGTGAACTATAGAATTCATTTTCCATTCTGTAAATAGTCATTTAATTATTTTTCTATTTGACGGGCGCAAAAAGAGACACATAGCGAGATACTCGTAAAAATGCGAGATCTCGTGTAATGGGCGCGCTCATCGAATGTACGCAAAATCGAGCACCCGTCGAATCTCAATTCAATTCTGCATCACATATCCGAGTGGAAGGAAGTAGTCACGAGCCAATTTGGCATTCGCGAGGATCCATCGAGCTTCCTTGGTACATCTATATTTATGATACAAGGCACATTGCGATCCGGCACGAGAGGAAACGAAAGAGAATGTCTCTCTCTCTTTCATGTACGAATGCATAAGTTATAGACTATAGGAATGGTTGAAACTCTCTAACCGGCAGGATTTGTGCGCAATGTTGATGTATACTACTGATATATTTGAATGACCGTTCTCTGTAAATATATTAGATTAAGACTTCGATAAAAGAAAATCTGACTTTTTACTGATTTCCTCTTTCTTCCGATTCCTACGTTCTATCAAAACAGAAAATAAACAATAAACATCGAAAAAAGATATTCTTTATTGCATTCATTCATGGGATATGAAATTTAATTTGTCTGAAATGATTTGAAATTAACAAGTATTTATAATTAATATTTCATTCAATTATTACTTCTACAAATTCAAATTCTTAAATGTTTTCTTGTAATAATTTGGAATATATATATAATATTTAGCCTGATTTTATCATCATTTATTTATTTCGGTGCCACACTAATTTAACACTAGCCTCCAACTACAAGCAAATTAGCTAGTCTCAATTGATAGATTTTCGTTTGCACATTTCGAAACAAGTCATTGCATACACTTGTAAACAATGAGCAAACGAATATATCTTATAAGGTATATTCGGGAAGATAGCTATTAGCGCTATTCATGTCATTCTGTCCTTGTTTTATATCTAAACGACGAAGACTTTTTCAAAAGTTGGGCCAACTTCACACAAATCAAGTACATATCATATTGAGAAGACGTTTAAAGATTATAATTTTTATTATTAAATTTTGTCTAATTGTTTTGAAGTCTAATTGTTTTTTATATATAAAAATTAATACACTCTTCCCTCGCGATTTTGTAATCAATACACAAATAATATAAGATCTGTAAATATTTATTGACTTCTTATTTTCTTAAACAATAGCAAATTATTATGTTCGATATGCCTTTCTATTAAATTATTATTGTTGAAAAATTCAGGCGCAGTATTCGCCCACGTGCGATTCTCCTTTGGGATATTTAGAAAATCGAGCAAACTACTGCTCAATCTTGGTATAATTGGATATAATATTAAAGCACCTATTCTACTACTTTCCAGAGCAAGCGATATAACAGCTTTAAGTTCCTCGATCGAATCTGCATTGTCGACTTGTTTCCTCAGTTGCCAAGGTTCATGATATGCTACCATTTTATTTGCGCAATGAAGCATATTCATGACTGCGTCCACGACATGATGTAAGTTATATTCCTCGTAACTTTCGCGTGCTTTTCTGCTCACGGATTTTAAACTCTCTCTGGTTTCATCGGCAACCTGAGACTGCAATATGTTCCAATATCTTGCGGGATTAGGAAATTCTTTGGATGGATTGACTGCTTTACCCACGCAACGATTAACTAGATTACCCAATGTATCCGCCAATTCGGAGTTTAATATGTTAACAATTTTAGTTGAACTATAATCTACAAATATAGATTTTTAAGAGATTTGATGCAAATGATATGTAAAAATGAATGCATGATTTATCTTACTTGCGTCGTTTTGTGGTACCGCTTCTCTCAGAATGAAGTATCGTAATCCTTCTTCTGAATAATCATTTGCAGCTTCAAATGGCGAAATTACATTTCCTTTTGACTTCGACATTTTTTTATGATCAACAGTCCAATGAGCGTGACACAGTAACGTCTTTGGAGGCTCGAGACCTGCCGCTATTAAGAATGCTGGCCAATAAATACCGTGAAACTTCAAAATATCTTTCCCAATTATCTACATCAATAATTTTCTTTGATATAATCCATATTTTAATCTAACAATTTTCATATAATATTATTAGTCAAGAATTATGATCCATACTTGAATAGTGGGCGGCCAAAGTTCTTTATATGATTCATTTGGATATCCTAAGACCGTTAAATAATTTATTAAGGCATCCAACCATACATATATCGAGTGAGATTCATTGCACGGAGAAGGTATAGCCCATGGCACTTTGTTTCTAATTCGAGTAATGCTTAAGTCTTGTAAACATGTACCCTCGTTTATCCATTGGGATAATGTTTTGTGATACAGCGCTGGTCTAACTGTGTTTTCTATAAAAGATCTGAAATTTACAATTTGCAATCTTAAAAAGAAGAGAAATAATGACTGCGTTTAGTGGAGAAAACTGATCAGTAAGCACTCAATGATTTTTTTTAATATAATTGATTCTTGTCTTTAGTTTCTCGATGAATGTGAATGTAGGCACCAATCCGTATTAAATAATCATTAAGCGCTCACTTAAGCGCTCATGATAAGTTTTCTCTATTGAACGCAGCCAATTAAATTAAGATTCAACATCTTTTTATACCAT